ATTCTTTAAAGCATTGAGAACCCCTAACAGTAAACTGTTTGGGGAAATACGCGAAAACACGTCCGGTGAGGCCAGGTACGTGTGGCCGGTCGGCGGTCTGGACCTTCAGCGACTGGCCTCGGCGGCAGGGAGTCTTGATGGTCAGGAGAGGAATGTGGGGACAGGATGGGGATTGGATGGTGAGGAAGGAGAGATCTCTTGCTTGGCTCTGCAACCTACTAGCGATGGCCTCCACACTACATGGTCAGAAGGGGATGATGCGATGGACAAAAGTGTATATTCCGTTGGTCTTTTTTGGTGTAGAGCTCTAAGGCTTGTGGAACAGGTCAACGAAATGGAACGTTCACCGGTGATGGACCCCTCCGGAGACTTGCCAGTTTGCCCTAAACATGGCAAGCCTGTTTTATGTTTCCCGCTGCTGCACAGGTCAAGTTTCCCTCAACTGTGTGTCAAACAAGAATCATAGCACCACAGGTCAATTGACCAGACTGGACAGGGTGAGCAACCATGGGCGCGTTGGCCGGTGGAGCATCTGGCCATCCCACACTTGGTATCCCCATGGGATTCGGTGGAGCTATTACCCTGGGGTTGAATCGACATGTTATATAAATCCAAAGACTATTGGAAGGAATACCCCAGTATCTCCACTGAATCCGAGCGCCACTGCTGTAGCGGCGACAAGGTACATAGAATGCGAGTTCTGCCAAGCTGATTCGACCGAACCACCATGGGGAAATCCCCCAAACACCAGCTTTCCCCCTCTCTTAAAAGCAGTTCCGGGTTTTGTCCTCCTGTTCCGGGTCACGGGTCCCTTGCTTGCAGTTTCTTTTTTTTTTCGAGCCAAGCAGTGCTCCAAGAACGCCTTTCCGAAAGCTCAGGAGCTGGATTGCCGGACCTTGACGGTGAACTGGAGATCCTCTTGCAAAGCTGGCACGGTGCGGTGCCCAGCTGTGTGGCTTCGATCCGCGCGCGTTTCAGTAGGGAGCTGGGGCGGAGCCAAGCAGCCGATGGGAGAAGTGACGCTTTGACCGGAGATGTATATTGTAGACTCTTGATTAATGACCCCCTCCTCGTTTGAATTCGAAATCCTCTTCAAATGGAGGGTTTATTAATCAAGAGTCTACATTGCAGAAGTTTTGGATGGTTTTGGGATTTCTGTAGGAATTGCAGGATGACTTGTCCATGATCAAGTGAGGTAGGAACCCTTGTGTTGCTTCTGGATGAAGACTGACCCTCAATACTGGTAGCAGGAATGGATTCTCAGCCAGCTATCACCGGCACGCTTTCCCGCTCCATTTTGCGAGCCACAGGAGGTCTATGACGAAGACTACTATGGCCCACTGCAAAAACAGCTCCTCAGCAGGAAGAATGACAAGAAAACCGGGGGTTCGGATGACTTCACATGACTGGCGGTGCGGATGTGTGCGGATATGTGCGGATGTGGTTCTTCAAATGAATCCAAGACAAAGAACCCAGGATGATGGTCCATACTGGTCAGGGTTTTTCCGAAAGCCCACTTGAGCAAGAAGACGAAGACAACCTTCTCATGACATTTTGAGTTCCAGTGACTTTCGTGTATCCTGGAGAATTGGTTCCCTCTATATTATCATAAGGAGTTTCGGCATTTGGAACACTGACTATCATGACAACATTGTGGAACACTACGTCTTTTCTCTCAAAACCCACACGTCCAATCCTCGTGTGGATGTAAGGTCCAAGGTCACCTTCACAAACAACAATGACAAGAAACACACACATTGTGAAGCAGTCCCAAACTCCTCCATACCCCGGTATTTTCATGGCCGAAAACGCTCCCCAACGGGCTGCTGCCGCTCCGTGAGTTCACAGGCTGCGCTGCCGTGTGACGCTGGACCCGGCGCGACCCGAACGGGTCTCGCTGTGGGTGGAAGCGGAGGCCTTCCTCTTTAGGCATCACCTGGGACGGGGGGGGGGGGTAGTGGTGGAAGGGGTGAATGGTGTTTTCAGGTTGCTTGGAGGGTGCTAGGACAAAAGTGGGGAAGAAGGAATCAGAAGGACTGAAGTAAAGCTGCATGAAGTGGTTGAAGAACCCGACACTAATGCGTTTGTAATGAGGGGAGATGGATGAACTGTCCAAGTTAGAGAAATCGGAGAAATACCAGATGAAAGAGTGCATGGGTGGATGTTCTCCCTATGCAGCTCGTAGACATCATATGGATCAAAAGAATACGCTCTGATGATCACTGATGATGCCGTGCTTTGTGGGACTCAGTTCTTGTACCACCCTTTTTCCTTGCTGAAGGTCACGTGACAGCCAGCACCTCCCCAGGGTTTTGGGTGCTACTTTTGGGTGCATCCAGAGGTTCACACCTCTGCCGACCTCTCCAACACACCCCGAGGAACCGGGTGCGGCCCTGAAGAACCGGACTTCGGCAGGATGGTGCGGGTGATTGCCACCGCGCTGGTCGCCTGTGCGCGAGAACCGCTGGAACTGCAGGCGCCCCGCGTGTTTCACGCGCGCCGCGCGTAGCGGTGTTGGACGCGCGTCCAACGCGCCGCGGCGTTGCTTTGGGATGTGTGGAATCCTCCGCCATGGTTCCCTGGGTGGGCGATGTGGCATCGTAGCGGGAACGGACTGGAGCTGCCTTCTATTTGGGTGTCGACCAGGTGAACGACCCAGAGAGCTTTGCCGCGACCATGGAGTGCATCAAAAGTCGGCCCGGAGGCCCAAAGGAAAGATTGTTACGCACCAAGAGAGGTTGAAGAACCCTAGAGCTATAGTTCGACTATCCCATAGGTCCCCCAGGTGACAGGTCCTTTTTCAGGTCACTTAACCAGTGTTGGCATGTTTTGCCTGGTTCTTTTGGGTAGTATTTTGGTGATATCTCTTGAGACAGCAAAGACATGCAGTCAAGACGTTTCAATCGAAACACCAGGGGTGCAGAATTTGAGAAAAATGGAGACCACCTCCCATCCCGTGAGTGTTGCGCAGGCCGGCTGCGTTTCCTTCATGGGATTGTCGGCAGGAAACACCTGCATGTTTGCTGTGTGGGCGATGTGCGCCCAATGATTTTCAGGTGCAACCTGGCGCCGCCCAATGGCCTCTTTCTGCAGAGCATCACTTATGCGGAGAGCGGCCAAAGCGAAGAACATTTGTCTTTGTGGCGGCCTGTTTTTTAGGCGGACTCTGAACATCCCTGAACAACCCACGTCGGTCTTGTGTTTGCAGCGATGTGATGCACGAGTTCCAATGGGACGAGTTGGGTTTGTCCCAGGGGCACTTGTAGAGCCGTCGGGATCCACAAGAACATCATGGTTTTAGAGATGGAAAGGCCTGCAACTTGAGTCTAATCGTGTGTTCCAAAATCAGTCGTCTGCCTAACCTAACTATCATCCACTGGGATATATTGAAGGGATGGCCCCCATTTCCACTGGACGTGCCAAAGAAGCTGGGCATTCTTCGATGAGAAGTCTGTCATGGTACTAAGCACCAAAAGACCATTTCCAAGGATTTAAGCCACTGTATATATCATGGGGCGTGACCCTGTACTAACCATGCTGGTCAGATGCGACTGACAACTTTTAGGATACCAGGACCTTCCCAGTGACCTTTTGAGATCCGAGAATGAGGTCACAAACAGGCCTTGAAAAGGTCACTTACCAATCCTGAAGAGGTCACTGGGAAGGTCCTGGTATTTGGTGTTTCATGATGTGTCATGTACTTCTTTCCGCCTGCCCCGCATAGCCCTTTTTTCGATATCGAAAACGACGCCCGCTGTTTCGGCGGTGAACGTGCCTTGGCGAAATCTTGATGGTGCAAGGTTTGGGGGGGGTCACTTTGAGACACCCTTCATTCTCCATCAATGTGCGACATTATTGAAACAACCTTTTTGTGCATTTTTTTGCACTATTCTGTGATATATATATATATATAAACACTTCTCTCGGATGGCATTGGATAGTTTCAGTGGTGAATGTGGAGCAAAAATGGCGACCTCTGGTCAAGTGGAGGGAAGCTTCTTGGAGGGACGAGCTTCTTGGACGGAAGCTCCGGATGTAGGGCGAAGTGGCGACGTGTATTGGAGTTAGAGTCTTCTCCATTTTCAGGACATGCTTGTTCCTAGGAAGGGAAGAGAGATCCTGACGAGCACCAACATTTGCTACGCAACGCAGTGCGACGTTGCATAGACCATACGAGTCCAAGGACTCTGAGCTCCTTCCGGCCTTTTTTTGTTCGTTTTCTCGCTTCATGGCAAAGTGTCGCCACGTGTCGCTGACAACGACGGCCGTCCCACGCGCCGTGCGACTTCTTGAGGTGAAGGTCTTTGGCATCGTGGGCGATGTGGGCGATGTGGGCGACACTGTGGCCACATGGCGGGAAGGAAAGGTTTCGGAAGGAACCTGATCACGGCTCATGTCAGAAACACGCCACAAATTCACCTTCATGAAGACTCCTCAACAAGAAAACAACTCTTGAGATAAAGGTCCCTGGAGTGTACTATAGGATTTCTATAAAAGGATGGTGTGTCCAACCAGTGCTTGGAAGCTCTGCCATGGCCCCGTACGTAGGGGGCAAGACCTCCAATGGTCCTGTTTTGCCTTCCAAAACAGGTTTGGCAACCACTTGTCAACCTGCACTTCAGGAAGAGTTGTTTCGAAGGATGAGTTCGCGAACGGAGGCATGTCGGTGCTCCATGGTGCTGCTTGTAGCTTCTAGCTATATAGGTGTTTCCAGAAACTCGGCCCCTTTCTTACTTCACCCGAAGTCCAGACTTCTTCGTTAAGCTTCGCGTTGCTTCGCTTTGCAGCGACCTCGAGGTTGGCCGTGGCGGCCATTGATGGTGCTTGGGGCGAGTGCGCGGAAGGCGGGGTGAACGAAGGGAGAGCGAGGTGAGAGGATGGCCCTGAAGGAGAGAAGCAGAGGATCACCCGAGCAGAAGGGATGAACTTTTGGAGCTTCCCACCGAAAACAGGAAGTTCTCACCGACTTTCTTTGGGGCCATGTAGATCTCACAGATCCAATTTCATCCCCAGGGCTGATCCCGGTTGTGCCAACCCATGGAGTGTGGCTTTTGTATCCCATCCGTTGTTGGGCCGGACCGATGTCTTCGGCTCGCGCTCGGCTCGCGTCGACTCGCCAGGCCAATGCCATGATCAAGTCGATGGCCCAAGCTAGGTGGAAGGGAGTGCCGAACCCGAGTGGAGAGGTGAAGAACAGAACAGGCGCTAGCTGAGGTGAGGAACCGATGAGTTTCATCATGGAGGGGTGCGTCACGCGGCCCTTTTTTTTGGTTCAGCCCTTGACAGCTTAAGTTTCTTGGTCCTTCGGACATGGCGGGATTTCGTCCCGTTTTGGCGTTTGGGTTTGCGAGGGAGACCCGGATCCTTTGGTCCAGCCCACGCTCTGGAAGACTGGCAGTTGTGATCACCAGCAACCAACCCCGAGGCCCCAAGAAAAAGGGACTGCACAGGGGTTTCCCCTGAACAGGAAGCATCTTCTATAGCTGTTTGTGGAAGTACAGTCACCTCCAGGTGCTCAATCGTTTATTGGCTCAATCTGTTTCTCGAACATGAGGGACATGACTCATGTTCCTGGCACGAACACCGGTGTTCGGCTGGAGATGTATCGGCCAGGTCTCAGCCATTTGGGGATAGATGTCATAGTCGGCTCGTGCACTAGCCCAGCTCCTCGACCAAAGGCTGGTCTTCTTCAGCTTTCCAAGCAACACCTCCCATTGAGGTTCTTGATCCTGTGTCACTCCAAACCCATCCAAACCCATCCCAAAACCCTTCCCTGCCTTCCCACCTGTCACCGCCGTGTGACTGCCGTGCCGAGGCCGGGCTGTTTCAGATCGACGCGAAGCGTGGCACGGCCACACTCGGCAGCAACCGCTCGCAGCAGTTGTCACTGGTCGCGACAGTGGATGTTCTCGGATGTGCTGGGAAGGTGAATGGGCTTTGGCAGGTGGATGAAAGGAGATGGAAAGAGACCACAGGAAGAAGTTTTTTGTTATTTTCGGATTTGTAAGGATTTGCATCTTTACAGTATTACAGAAGGTCTACAAGCCGACAATGTTGGACTTCCATGAGATTTGTTTGGGCTCAGGGGCTTTGAGGGCCTAATCCTGCTGGCCAGTTTCTGCGACATTGTTGTTCCTGTTGTTGCTGTTGCTTCATCTCCTCTACCAAGCAGGTAATCCACCAAGTCCTTTCTTGAAGCCAGGCATTCAGTCCGAGCAGTTTCCATGAGTCCGGGCCTGCTTATGTAATGACACTTCAGAACCCTGGAAGTCCAAGACCATTTTAAACATGGTTGACCTGGTTTTGTAGTGCAAAAACCATGGTGGTTTGAATCGTAGGGAGAATGTAGTCTCACCAGCCACAACTCCCCACCAATCTGACTAGAAAGAACGCCGCCCCCCAAACGGGAGTGTTTTCGTGTTCTTTAAGGGGTGGTTTTTGCTCCCATCTTTGTGAGTGGTTTTTTGCTCAGGGGCACCCCTAATTATCCTCCAGGTTGGGCACCCCAAGTGAGCTCTGTGACTCCTGGTTCGTTTCATCTTCCATCACCAGACCTCCCAGGTCTGTCAGGTCTGTCAGACCTCCCCTCCGTTTCAGCTCCCATGGGTTTTCTTCCTCGCGCCCGGGCAGCTCGCTCGCCCCGCGCGGAGAGCGTTCCGCGTTCCGAGCGTTCCGTCTCTGCGGACCCGTCGGCGGCGGACCGAGCCGAGTCCGGGCATTCCGATCGGCACCAACCTGGGAGGCCGGGACGACGAACGGGGTCGTTCAGGTGGGTCGAAGACGTACATGGGAAGCGGTGTATAGGGGTGATGTTTGGGAGGTAGGGGGGATAAATGCTTAAACGAAGCATAGAATTGTGTTTTTTGTTTTTAATAACACATGATACAACATCTCAGTTCAAGTCAGGAGCGGGTGTGTGGTGGCCAGCTCATGAGTCAGGATGACTTCTCAGGATGGAAGCACCAGAACACGAACCACCTGGACTGGACTTGGTGTTGGTGAAGAATGACACTTGGTGAAGAGAATCCTCCTGGAGGCTGTTGGCCAACAGGTTCTTTGAAGGATCTGAAGGATCATGCGACCAGGCGGTAGAGTTGACACACAATGGTTCAACCGCTTTTCTCACAAAGCACGTCCGAGAATGTTGAAGGACTTTCCACTTACACCAGTGAAGCCTTAGTGGTTTTTGAGACAGGTTCCTGAAAAATGTCGGGTTTTGCATGGTTCTGCCGAAAAACTACCGCCGAAGATGGATCAGGCTTTGGTTGACCGAAATGAAGATCATTTCCAGCACTGATGAAGCTGGCTGATTCCTCACTGGTCACCCTCCGAATCTGGGGAATTTTCTCCACCAGCAAGCTTAGTGAGCCAGGTCACACAGAAGGTCCATCACGCTGATTCAGCCAGTCGATGGATCCCACGTCGCCACCCTCGGATCGCTCACTCAGATCGACGGAGGTTGGCTCTGCTTGGAGGATTGGTTCTTCTCGGGCAATGAGGGTCGCTTCGTGCCGCGCGCTGAGACGGACCAAACGGAGAGAGCTGAGAGCTGAGACGGCGGGCCGCCTGGGGGACGAGCAAAACCACCAGGCGGCTGATCTCGCAGATGACACATATTCAGGATGAGGTGATGAGGCCTAGATTTTTTTCATCATCCTAGGCCTAGATGATGAGGCCTAGATTTTGAGAGAAGATTTGAAGATCAGACAATTCTGCAACCGCTTTCAGAACCGCTTTTCGACCGCGTCGCTGGTTTCCCCACACCGGACGCTCCACTCCAGGACGCGCGTCGCGCTCGGCGACGCGTCGATGCGGAGAAACCGAGGTCCACCACTGATCCGAAAGGGCAAGGCGTTTGCCTGCCGCCCTTGTTGCAAGGCGCCGTCCAAAAGCGTCTTCTTCTTTTTGTTTGGCAAACGGGTCAGCGGGTCGTCAGCAGGTCTGTCAGGGGTCAGGTGTTGTGAAGTTGGGAACACCGGTGGATGCGGGTGGATTCACAGGGTGGGCCGACTCCAAATCACTTCAAAAATGCCAAGAGATGGCCCCCCCCCAAATCATCGGTTTGACCGGAGTCCGAAGTCTGCCTGGAACAGATCCGACTTTTTCCCGGTCTTTCCCCGACTTTCCCATCCACGAATCTCGCACCAAGCAAGAATCCACGAAGCACGATATTATCGTATATTGTCTTTTTGGTTCAGATCGGGAACCGTGGACTGGGTGGAGACCGACCCATTTTGGGTGGTTGCTTTGAGGTGCGAACCCTTGAGGTTTCTTCTGGCAAGGAGGTTTGCAGAATCGTAGTCGTTGTCACCATCTCGCAGGCGGCAAGGAGCCCTGGCCATCTGAGGGCATGCTGGTGCAGAGGTGCTCGATGGTGGGGAGAGGGGAGCTATTTCAGTCCCAACTGGTGCATCGGTTGCAGTTGTTGTTCCAGTCTTCTCCGTTTCTGACTTCTTTGGATGGGCCGGGGGGTTGATCGGTGGACTGATGGATACAAAGTGCGGGTGCAGAGATACATGTCTTCGAAGATGACTTGAGTGAGGGGCAGATGTACATTCACTACGAGACTTGACATTTGTGTGGGGGGGTAGGTTTTGTGGAACTTGAGGCTTTCCTGTGACAAACCGGACCATTCCAGGGCTGAAAGTAGACAACCCACGTTTATCAACTGTTTGATCTATTTTTGTCGAGCAATCTCACTTTTTTTTTTTGTGTGTGTGTGTGTACCTTTAAACGATCTGAATGTCCAACCATGTTTTGTTAACGTTTGTTGGATATGTTTTCACCAACTCATGAATCTTTTCTAGATCTCAAGTGATATCCACCCCCTCGGTTTTGTAGGATCCGCCCTGTTTTTCCAGGCTGGTCAAGCAGCACGGCAAGGAGTTGGCCGCCCAGGCGCCGCAATCCGCCCGTTGATGGTGTGTGTGGACGTTCGCAGTGACTGACGAAGGTCTATGTTTGTTTGCACGTTTTGAAACTGTGCCTGACATGGCCCAGACAAATCCTTAAGGTTCGTGACTGGAGAGTTGTCAATATCCTATTGGCTGCAAAAAGTGCTTCTTGCTGGTTTGGTGCTTCCTTCCCCCCGGGACTCGGGACCCGGTCGGTCCGGCAGCTTCTTCGCAGGTCTTCGAGGCGCACCGGAACTCCTTCGTGAGCGCGGGAGACTTGGAGGCCGCTCCCGGGGGTTCGGAAGGATGGAGGCGGTGAGCCTCCTGAGAATGAGAGAGATGTTCTCAGAAAGGATGGAAGGTGATAGTAACTTCCCCAACACTTGGGACCATTGTAAACTTATAGACTGACTCATAGACCCATGATATAAATCAGGAGGGTGGACCCCATTCTCAGATCCGGGTGGCTCCTCTTTGGATTTCGTTCGTATCGGCAAAAAAGGATTCTACTCTCAGTGATACACCTTCACTGCATTCTCAGTCGTTCACTGCGACGAGGTCAGTGAACTCGACCAAAAAGACCGACCTTGCCACCAGGCTATGGAGACCATCTCGAAGCGTGTTGGAGATTTGATGGGATTCACCAATGGAAACAAGCTGCTACAACACGCTTCGAGAATAATCTACATTATGTAGAGCTTGTTTCAATTCACCAATTCTCCTTTGTTTGAAACAAGCTCCATACAATTGCAATGTGTTTTCCCAGCCCCGACACCTGAGTGATCCTCGGGGAAGGGAAAAAAAGAGTCACTCAGGACCCCGAAGTGAGTGTCTCCCACCCCGATGCTTCACCCGGTAGGTCTTGGCTGATCTGGGCATTAAGATCGTGCGCATCCCGGTGGTTTGGAGCCTCTTTGCCGATGCGCTTGCTCCACTGGCCGCATGGCAGCAGCACTTGTGCCGCATGGCTCTCGCTCCTGGGGGGGGGCGTTTTCTTCCTGTTCAATCTATCCATGCTCATGGTGCAATGGTCAGGGTCATGAATCACCATGAATCACCATGATACAACAACAACATCATCATCATCATCATCATCACCATCATCATGATCATGATCATGAGCCATCAAGAGTTGTCCTATTTCCCCTTACCCTGGCCCTTTCGCCTGAGGCGGAGGAGGAGTACGGCAAGCACAATCCCCAGAACGAGACCGTGGTGGTGCCTGGGCGATACGACAGACCGTGCGGGCCTTCTTCTCGTCTTGGTTCCGAGACGAGAAGAGCTCCGCTGTCTTCGAAAAGAAGCAAACCCTTTCGGTTATTAAAGCACACCTTCCTTTCTGTTGGGGGTCCCATCTGGCGGCGAATGAAAAGATTTTTCCCCTTTTTGCCCGGGTTTTCGGTAGTCCTCAGGGAGCGAAGAGATTTTCCACGACAGATTCAGGGATGGCATTTCGCTGTTCTTTCCATTTGGGGTCACTCTAGGCCAAACAAAGGACGCATGTTTGATTTCTTAATGTTCTTCTTGCTTTTGGTGTTTGGGTGTTCTACAGGAAAGCACCGAGCTTTGTTTTCATTCCTGGGGGTTCGCGCCGCCTACAGTCTTAAGGATTCTGAACTGAGGTAGGACTTGTTCCATGAGATGTCTCCCACATGGCACCATGCCAGGGCAAGGAACCAGAAAAAGAACCCTATGATTTATATAGAGGTTTCGAGATGCTCACAGAATCTCGGGGACGTCATGCGGAGGGCAACCGGACATGCACCCCAAAACGGAGGGCAACCGGTGGTGGTCGGCAGGTTTCTCGTTCCATTTTTGCAAGTTTCTACTTCAGGCTAGGTGTCTCCACCCAGCATTGACACGCCCAACACGCCAGCCCCATGAAGACCTCCACGTGACCCTTGCGCGTGCCGCACGCCGCCGCCACGCTGCCGCGGCGCCGGAGGTGCCGGATCCGTTTTACTACCAGAACGCCTCGCTGGTCACCATCCCGCGGCAGCTCTTGGAGAACTTGTTGGCCCACGTGCCCTGGTTTTGCTGGGTGGTCGGTGCAGCGGGTGGAGCGGTGTCGTGGAGCTTGGTGGGGTGGAGAGACTGGTGGTGTCTTTCTGGCGTGGTGGTGGGGGAAGGAGACTGGCGGTGTAGAGTCTGAGAAGTGTGGTTGGAGAGACCTGATGAGAGGCTTGACTTGTTCACGATGGTTTTTCCTGACCGGCCAGTCTAGGCCGAAGAAGCCTGGGAGTCCCGCGACCTAGGAGTCTATGGTTTACCTTTTTAATCTCTTGTACGTCAGTTGACTGGATCAACTGGGAGCCGCGGGGGAAGTTGTCACGACTGATGACACTAAGATCTCTTCCGTTCTGCGGATGCACATCTTTGAGGAACAAAACCCCTCCCACCAAGCCTTTCGCCTTGCCCCGTAGATGCATGGGAGTGGAATGGATGTATATAGACATGCCAGCGTTGCTGGAGAAGTCTCAGGACGCCCGCCAGACTCGACTTGAACAAGTCGAAGCAGAAACATGTACTGTAGAAACATGTACCAGAGCCCCCTACTGTAAGGGGTGTCTAGTATAGCTCCTTAGAGGTATCCAGGGGTATATCCATTCACCACCCCATGGCACAGGGGGCCCTGGTAGAAACTTCACTGACTTCGATTCGAGGCTCCACTGACTTGCCCATCATTGCTCCGTGCCGATGTTCTGCGGTCGGCGTCCTCGTCGCCCGACAACGCCCGGTGGCCGTCGGTCGTCGGTCGGTCGGTCCAAGGGCAATCAACTCGGCCTGAAGTTCCTGCTTGCGCCCTGGCGGACGACCGAGTGGCCCGCCCGACACGGGCCTGGAGGCCACGCCCGAGCGTGCCGACGATCGATTGATTTTGATGTGTGCAGCAGGCGAGCAGTTCATGACCTGATCCTGATCCACAGATCCACACTAATTACCTGGCCGGCTCATTTCCATCCAAGAGCGAGATCATGTCCCCACAGTCGCGGATAATAGATCCGATCACTGGCCAATTATCACCAATATGATGCGGGCCCGTTCTGAACGACCTCATGAGGTCGATTTTCAGGAGTTGATCATACCAAAACACTCATGAACATGAGGTAACCTCAGGACCCTCAGACTGGACCTGTAGAGCTTAATGACCCATTCCTGGGATGGGGGTTCCATTGTGCTTCTAGACCGGTATGTCGCCAACAACTTCCATCCAGACCATGTTTGGAGACGGAATTTTCCAACTCGCCCCATTTTTAAAAGGCAAGGGACAACGCCATGGACCCTCAACGCATGGACCGCTGAGGATCTGCATGCCTTCCCTGGCGGGTCCTCGGATGGTGCGCCGGCAGGTCCAGAGACTGGCGGCATCGTGTGTCTGTACAGCACTGTACAACCAAAGAACCATGTAAACAGATCCAGAACTTGGCTCTGTACGAAGGTCTCCTGTGGGGAAGTCGAAGCGAAGGTCTCGTGATTTTCCACAGTGTTTCCACTGGCGGAACTTCGCATTCAATTTCGGTGTGATCCTGGTTCCAGGTACCTACAACGGGATCTGGCCTTTGAAGCCTGTCTTTTGGAAGGAGAACATCCAGGCCACCAAGCTTGTTCGAGAATAGGTGGTGGCGCCAATTTCTGAGCTGGTGACAGTCAACAAGCGTTTGCTGCAATTTGTTGGGTGCCAGTTTTGCAAATTGAGAAAGAGAGATCCGAAAAAGAGTTTGTCAAGGTTATCTCCAGCTGCACAGTTGACCATATAATAGGTGATCCTCTCCCCACGTTGTTGAAACATGGAACATCCCTGTGAACGATCCGTACTCAGAACGGCCCGATCTGCAGAAACGGCGAGAAACCCCCAAGCCTCCCTGCGCCCGGCCCCGCTCGCTGAACCCAAGACCCTGGACCCCGCGCAGACATCGAAGACGCGCTCGGCGCTTGGAAAGACGGCCGTGTCTTACGGCGCGCGGCGGGGCGCGAGGTGGGTGACAAGAAGACCTCGCTTCAGAAGGCTGGGATGATGATCTACGAGAAGGCGATCGAGTGGCCCCTTTCTCAGCATGGAGGGGTGAAACATCGCTGCGCTCGGTGATCCCAGAGGTGGGATGTTTATTTTTTTTTCTGGCAGGTGCAGGAAACCCAAGACCATCGACATCACATCGACCGTCGGTTCACCGTCTCAAAGAGACGGTCGATGTGACGTGCTGCACGGCGCGGAAGACGGGTCGACGGGTCGGCGGGTCGGGGAAGCGGTCGAGGATGGAGTCGCTGGAGGGTGATGCCTTTCAAGCCCTGGAGGGAATCAGCCCGATGAATGAGCCAGGCGTGAGCGTGTGGGCGAGAGCGTGTGGGGAAAGGTGTTGTGGGTGTTGGGGGTGTTGGGAAGGTTGCGGCGAGGGTGAACACGGAGTCGTGCATCTTTTTTCAACATTTCCATGACTTGGATGGTTTTCAGGTTGTGTTGCGGGGAAGGAGTGGGTTCATGGCGCCTGGGATAACTTCGTGGAAGGTGCGGGTTGGAAAGTCTTTGAGCTTCAGATTCAGAAGGGTTGCATTCCCGCTGAATCCCTGGTGTTTGCAACCAGCGGTGCACTCACTCGTGGTAGGATACAGCTCACGTGCGAATAGTTTTTAGATAGTTTTAGTCTTTATTCGAGGTATTGTACGCTTTTATTTCCGGCGCGTTTAACATGAAGTTACTTCAAAAAGACTATATGGGCCCCCGCTAAGATGGCACAAGAAAAATTATCAATATGTGCCATGTTAGTGGAGAAACGCCTCTAAAAAGGCGGGAATGGAATTTGGAACCTTAAGATGTAAGATGGCACACGGCTACAAGTAAATGTCGCTTCTCATACACTAACATGGCACACTGAGAAGGACATGTAGTTCTTATGCTAGCCCACATAGATGGCACATAAAGGGAGACTAGGGGACCAAGCCCCATAAGAACCCAGAGCACCAAAAGATGAATGGCTCACTAAGATGGCACACGTGTTCATAAGAAAGAATGCCCCGCTTTAGCGCTGGAGAGAAATGAGGCTTGGTACCCAAGACTGGTCAGTGTCTTCCCTCTTTTCGTTTCCTTCTCCAGGTTGCCAAAAAGAGTTGCTTTCTGGAGGGGGGGCCCTTGGAAGCTGGAAACATTACTTTCTTGATCGGTTTTTAAAAGCGGATTTATAAAGGACTTTGAAGGCATGGTTTTGGATGGTTTCAATGGGTTTGGTTGAATAGCTCACTAAGAACAGTGTATCTTTGGATTTTGGGGTCGGGTCTCACCCCGTCGTGAGCCCTAGTATATACTGTAATTTTCTCAAAGCACTAAATGGCCTGAGGCGTGTCTCATTTCTGGACCCACCCGGACCCTGTAATTAATCGCAATCATTCAACGGCCTGAGGCATCGGCGTCGTTTTTAAGCCTTCCAGGTGGCGCCACATAGAAGTTATTATGTACTGGTAAGAAAACAGAGGACGTCTCAGGCCATTCCTACAAACCTCGGCCTTTTCCATTGTTTATTGAATTGGTATGGCAGGATTTGTGTGATGTGTTATCGATCGAAACCGATGCTGCCTTTTATCTCTAGTCTTGTTGTCTCAGTGCTGACCTTTCAAGTTTCAAGCTCCCGTGTGATTGAAGTAGTGCTCGCCTCACTCTCAGAAAATCGTTTAGAAGTGCACCTTGAAAGTCTTGCATGTCAAGTTCATGTGCTAAATTTGCAAGCGCAACCGGGCCATCAGGTCATCATGCCAGCTGTCAGCTTCTCAGTTGTCTTCTCAATTGTTCCTGCGCACAAATGTACTATGTACTTCATGGTTCAGTGGCTCGCCGTTTGACTCTCAATTTGCAGGTTTTGTACGTGATGTTCATCGAGGACCGCCGCTGCGAGGCAGTGTATTTATGTTGGAGACAATGAGGTGTATTTATGTCGGGCCCCCGGAGCTTATACGCAGCAAGGCGTTGAGGCTTAGAATCGAATCTCGACCGTTGCCGAGGCACCGAATGCGGTCAGGGCGCGGGAGTGTCATCGTACAGGTTGACCGGGGGTCGGTGCGGTCGGTGCCTTATAAGTCCCTGTTAGTGTCGTTGTTGCGTCTATGCAGCCGCAGCCTCCCTTTCCCTGAGGCGCACCGTCATTGGCTCGACCTCAGTCTCAGCTGCAATCTGGAATGCACAGTGGAACCATGTCTCATTGGGACGCGCCGTTTCTTTAGGTGGGCTCGGAGCTGGCGGAGTTGGTCCTACGGAGGCCGGATGGGTAGCTGACATAATTTGCCCGATTAAACATTATTGCAATAGCGCCCGGCAGGTAGAAAGTTGCTTTCGTGTTGCTTGTCAGGAGGATGTGGCGCCACTCATGAACGAGTTTGGGTGGCGCTGTCATGTTCTTAGCGCCAGATGCTTTCTACCCGCATATCACGGACACGCGGCTCTTCGAGGCTACCTTGAACCGGGAGCCGGCCGGAGGTGGTGGTGGAATCCCACAAACAATGACAGGTTCTGGGATGATGAATTTGCCTTTGTTTGAATCGGGTAAGGAAATAGGATGGCGAGATATTTTGGCAATCAAGTAGAGCGTACACATGTTGTTGCTGGATTTTGTTTGTATGAATACACACGTATCAAATAAATATCCAATTTGAAGCTCATCGTCCCAGCCTCTCCACCACCACGGAGCCGAGCGGCCACAGCCTCCTAAAAAGGCGCGGGCTAGCGCAAGTGTGCGGCCATAGTATTTTGTTGCTTCTCAATTTGTGTCAATTCTCTGATGGTGTCCGCGCGCAGCACGGCTCTGGTGTGGAGCAGGTTGAAACCTTGTGTGTCGACCGTGCCGTGAGTATTACATGGCATCTTTGTCGTCGATGCCTCGGAGAAAACGCCGCCGCTGTTGGCAACATTGGCCGCTTTAGAAAAGTGAAAGCGAAACGGAATTAGAAGCGTCAGAGGCTTCTTTGAAGTGTGTCGGGGCATTCACATCGGGTTTTCTGAGGGAGAGGCCACGTCGCTGTGGACCTCGCAATCAAGGTGGGCCTGATGCAGTCAGTTCTTGAGCATGTTGTGTGGGCAAGATTGCGCTGGAGGCCACGGTGAACGCCGTCGGAGAAACGGCTTTCGGAGGACCGTGACGTCGGAACGTTCGGCTGCCGCGAGCTCACGGAATAGTCGAAATGCGTCGCGAACAGACTTCTTTTGTCGTGCTCCGTGGGACATCGACAGTGGCGCGTCGAGGCAAATGGTACAGGCACGGTGCAGGCAAGAAGATCCGTTCGATTTCCTTGTTGTAGCATTCGCCCCCGCAGAAATTTGTGTGTCTGTTTCATTTTGGAACGTCGGATGCCAAGAATGCTACTTTCAGGTGTTGCCTGTTTTTGCGACGCAAATACCGCCGGGGATGTACTTGAACCCGGCCGGGAGGCTCAGCGATCGGCGCAACATTTTAAACACTCTGTCGGTGTTGACGCCATTACTCTAATGCGCCTGAGGTTCACATGCAAACATGTGCGAGCGTCTTGGCAAATCTCATCCGCTACTTAGGTCCGGGTGTCTATATGCTATTCCGGCAAGTGGCCGAGCACTTGCGTTTACACGTAGAGGAAGCACTAACCGATCACTTGATATTGGGTCTTGGCTCTTGTTTGAGGCCAATCAAGTGTGGTATCATATTACAGGCGTTGTGGCGGGCTAAGCTGCGGTGGACGTCTGCGCGAGTTGCTTTGTGCGGCGGTCTCTTCGTCTGGGGTGCTTGGCAGAGGTGCTCGGTGAACGATGTCAAGATAGTTGCGGAAAAAAAGAAGCGCGACGTGCGTGCAGTATGAGTGAATCTGCTGTGAGATGCCTGCTGGTATAGGGGTTATCGCGTGCTTGCTAGCATCGCTTTTGGCTTGCCTATCCTTCCTTATGTAAAGCCCATGTGCCATCTTACAGTCCTAGCGCACTGTGTTTCTGCTTTTTCGATGTGCAATCTTGCACGTTGCAGGTTAAGTGCTACTAGGTTCTCCTGTTAATGAAGTTGTGGAACCTCGTGTGCCGTCTCACACGTTCGGTGCAACTGTGCCATCTTAGCGGGGGCCCGTACAGTTGACTTGGCACCCTAGACTCTGCAGATCCAAGTGGGGTGCGGTGCAAAATGCTTCAACTTCCTAAGATGGGCCACCTTCTGAAGCCGCTCTGGCGGCCATGCCAGCACGTGAGTTTCCCTCAAAGCATGTTCCTCAAAGACAGCCCTATGAATTGATGTTTTTTTGGCAGGTCATTTGGCTGGCTTCCAGCCGCTCGAAGCAGTCAGCGTCACGAACGAGTTGCGTGTCCCGTTTCTGCTTCGGGAGTGATCGACCGGTCGAGCCGCTGGTGTCACGGCTTCCAACAGTCTTGGGATCCTCATGAAAAAGGAGAGGATGGCAGAGAAACATATCCTTGACATCACAATGGTATCCCTGATCAGCGATTAGGCAGACTCAGTCCTCTTGTTTTTTTACAGATATCTCCTTGCCATCCGAACCAAGATCTGTCGCTACCTCCCATAAGCCATATTCCTCCTTCTTGGACCTGGTCCACCCCCGAACCCTTCAAAAAACCGCCGAGGAGTCCCACCTGGGCGACGCCGGACCAGATCTTGGGTTGGCTCTCGAAGTCCATCCAAATCTTCAAAGACTCCGAGCCGCGCGACGTTGGTCGCGACGCGCTCGCGCACACGAAGCTTCGTACGTTTTGGACGTGACCTTTGGACGAGATGCGTCGTTTCTTCTTTAAAACTCCGACTCCTTGGGACTATCTGTTCAGGCAGAGGTTGTTCTCCCTTCCGTTTATATACTGGGATGTAACAAAGGAGATTCTATAGATGTAACCTTTCTTTCGAGAACGTTGAACGTCTCATTTTCGGTGTCCTTGCAGTCGTTTTTGTTTCGCCCTCCTCCGTTCTCCTCGCAACATTTTTCCTCGTTCTCCCGCCCTGAGGCTTCCTTTGAAGGCGCATGAAGTGCCACGAGTTGCGAGTTGCGTATCTCGTGATGCTCCGGGTCGTTGGTTTCCAAGACACTGATGCACCAAACGAGAGAAGTCCCCCCAAAGGAAACGTTCTTTATTTTTTGTGCCACAGAAGTGGAGGTCAGTGGAGAGCTTTTCAGTCAAACTTCCAGAGATCTACAAATCTGGCCGCTGAAAGTGCGGTCGAGACTGTCTGGCTTTGCAATGGCTCTATAGTAGTTTGTTGCTGTTTCAGTGCTTCTGCCTGTGCAGGGCAAGAGGCTCTACATGCAAATTATTGAGCTTCTTGGCTGCACAGAAGGGGGTATGCTCGCATGATGCTACTTCGCAAGGCGTATGGCATTTTCATTCCTGGCCATGGTTGCCAGAATAGAGGAAAGCCACCTCGCCATCAATGGCTTACACAGCGGGAGGTTGGAAGTGGGTTGTCCGGATACGATGGTTTGTTGGATCCGCGAGTTCGATGGTGAGGTTTGCCCGACTCGCAAACCCAAGCGGCCAACACTCTTAAGGTAGACTCCTAAAGATAGCCCCCATATAAACAGATTTTGCAATCCAACGGGGGGGTTATAGGTCAAGAGTATACAGTCTACATTTAGTTTAAGGAATCATCAGTTATTCTGCTCCCGCACCTTGACGCACTGCCTGCTTCAACATGAGTTGTTCTCCAACAACTTTCAGGGTGCATGGAGGTTATTCGGCTTGTGAAATGGCAGAACTGTCGGGTGCTCGATTGAGTAGCGCAGCTGAGTATGTCAGTGACGGGGTATTTCTCTGTGGCTTCACAATTTTTGCCCTGCTTCTTGCTGCTTGCTGTGTTTGATGGGACGTGGTGGCTCAAAAGCTCCAACAACTGGTAAAAACCCTGGATCATGAACGAAAAGGAACTTGCAGACAAGACCCAAATGCCCAAGAATCTGAAGCGCCTCCAGAGTCCTCGATCTCCACCCCCAGTTGGTTGAAAATGGCCGAGAAGTGAAGGGCGCAGGCGCACAAGAAGAAGCGGAGAACAAGGCTACGACGCTTGCGCCTGACTTGCAGGCGCAGAGAGCCAGCAGTCACAAGGGGCAAGACGATACAGCCAGCCAGCAGCCACCGGTCGCTTGGGGTGCCGAACGCACGGAGGAACATCCACGGCCCCTGGATGGGACGAGCCACAGCACCCCACCACATGTGACCCTTGGAGGTGATGTCAAAACAGCTTTTCCTCCTTTTGATGCACCCGGACGAGCTCCTGAGGACCGCGTTCCCTGACAACAGCTTCTGGGACGTGGTTCCCGACTGGTGGAACGAGCAGACCTCGCCCATGGATCGAGACAGCTGGGCCACTGAGCTGCGAACTCCTCGGGTCGCCGTGCCGGTCGCGCGGGTGCAGGTTGGCCCGTGGCGGTCGCGTTGGGCGCCCGGACCACCGAAACGAAGGCACACGAGGGGTCGGCCTCCTCGGGTCGTCCGTCCGGTCGACTTTCAAGAGTGGTCGTTATTTTTTTCTTTATGTATTTTTTTCTTTTTCGCTGACCCGATTTCGGGCATTTCCTTTACTTCGGTGGGGTATCGTCGAAGACTTCGGTCGGGAAGATGTAGCACAGACCTCTCTGGAAGACCTGGTTGGAGTGTTTGATGCGAAAGATAGGAGAGGATTTTTGGGAACTGTCAGTGATGCGGAAGATGGGAGATTAGCTCTGGGGATTGCCCGAAATCGATTGGTACCCATGCAGTTGCTCACAGCAGAACAGCGATAACTAATTAAGATGATGACCTGGAAGATGCACACCAGTCTGTTCTGCAGTGTTTTTCAGAACTGTTCTTTTAACGTTGCCAGATCAACCACTGAGTGCACCCCAGTCTAGACTGACCCGAGGCGCCCGGGCCGTTTTGCACCGGTCACCCCGCCGAGCTCAACCGGTCAGTTTCCTTCGATCGAAGGGAAGGGAACTGAGGGACCCTTGCCGTTGGCGGTTGGGTGCCTCCACGTTGGGTCGGGTAGGTGCCTTCCATTTTCAGGATCTGTAGGATCTGTAGGATCCTGAAAAGGCAGATATGGAGTTTGGGAGTTCGGTCACAACATGTCGCAACGGATGTTTGGAGAGGGCAGAATTCGAAAGTACCTGTTCCAGCACGTGCGAACATCGACTTGCTTACAGTAGGACCGCACAATAGACCAGCTCTCTCTCCGGGGCGACCGAGCCGCACTTTCCTCCGCACACCCAGCGACGAGGTCCCGACCAATCCGACGTGTAGAACTGCCCTCCGTTGGAGCGACGTTCCTCAGGCAGTCCTGGACATGCACTGGTATACCGCCTGGGGAACGAAGGTGAGGTCGCCGCCGCCGCCGTACTGTTCTCTGTCTCCGAGCGTCTCGGAAGGGGTCGCCTCGGTTGCAAACACCACCCGGGTCGCCCTCGATGCTGCGGGACAGGTCGCTTCGGTCGCCCTCAGTTTCTCCGTGTGAAACTCCAGACAGGGGGATGATCGGAGTTTCGATGTTGCGATGTGCTGTACCAGCTAGTATATAGTGCTGTGTGGAAGAGAGGGGAGGCATCGGAGTTCGAGGAGGCATCGAAGCAGCGGCATATACCCACTCGGGCACAAGACAGTGTCAGATCCGTGGGCCGAATTCTGTTCGTTTAAGATTCATTGTTACACCCCGGGGTTCCGCGGACCCGACGTGGAACACCGGGCTGCGGTGATGGACCAGAACGGGGCTTCGAACCCGGAACCTCCACACACACGGGGTTCCTGTGGTCAGGTATCCATGTGGGTCTGGTTCCGACGTCGAGTAGAAGAAAAGCCAACTCGGAGGGGGGATGTCTTCACTCGACATCGCTGCCATGCGCTGTGATCCGCGGGTGAGAGGCTGGGCTCTTCCGCCCTGAAAGGAGCTCGGATGGTCCAGATTGTTCGTGTTGGTCCACGTGGAACGAGAGGAATGAAGGAGATGGTACACCGAAATGACCCATTGTCCTTTGCAACCAGAGCCGTTGGAATTAATCCGTTGGATACCATTGATCCTGGATCCTTGGACTCTGGAAGGGGCTTTCACAGTTTCTGATCACTTCAAAAAACCGGAACCAGTTCACTATTGCAGCCACTCCTCTTTGGATACAGAACCATCACATTTGATCCCGTCCGAACTCGTTTTCGACATCTCTCGACCGTCGGTCAAAGCCACCGGTACCCACCGGTTGGTTCCTCAGCCGGGAATTGGTTGGGTCTGTCCCAGTGAAGCTGTAAGTGTCACTAGAAACAAGAACATGATGATTTTTGAGATGGAAAGGCCCCATCAACCAGGCCCCATCATCCGGGCCCTAGATGGCCCGGGATAGACCGGCCAGACCCGGGTCTAGGGCGGCGTCTTGCCGGATCGCGCGGCGGTGGCCTGCAACGAGCCGGTGCAGAAGATTTTGGAGGCGGGACCAGGAGCTGTGGAGAGCTGTAGACGAGCACGTCTGGGGATGACGCAGAAGATGGGGTTCAGAAGCATTAGCCATAGGTCATAGGTCATAGTGCTGGTAGTGACTGGACCAAGTTCCTGGTAGACATATGACGCTCCTCTGAGAATGCATGGTGACTCGGGGCTTTTCATATCTCCAAATCATCACCAAGCCTATTTGGAAGGTTCTGAACCATGGCGGAGAAGCCTAGGAAACTCCACGAAAGCTGTAGTCCACATGAGTCCACATGAGGGGTTCACCAAGGACAGACCTTTGAGATCATTCCAAGTTTGATTCAGACTTAGTGCTCATGCCCTTTTTGAAGTCCTCCATCTTCTACTGACACATCTACTGACACCTATCTTTGGGATGTCTAAAGATGAGAAGTGGTCAAACAATTGGACGTCGCTACGTCTAGCTACGGGCTGGTCTTTCTTTTTTGGGGTCCATGGGTTAACAGAGTTGATTTGGAAACAGCGTCCGAACCAGGGGACAAGCGTCCGAACCCCGCGACCACTCCATGTGTTGCTGCTGGGCATTCGCTGCGTTTAGGTCCTTCGGCCTGGAATCGAAGGCTTCGCGAAGCAGTTTGCTGCTCCTTGGAACGCGTTCTTGTGCTTTTGGTGCTTGGGTCGGATGCGTTCCTCGAAGTTGCGGAACATTGGCATCAAGGGATGGACGTGGTTCCCGCATTTGCATGACGTGGTTCCGCAAGCAGAAGTGGAGCTTAGGCTCAGCGTTTGAGAGCCCCCTGGGCCTGAGGGAGACCGCTGGATCCATGCCGAGAACTCGCTACAGAGACGGAATGGATAATCAGCTGCGTTGCCCGTTTGACGTCCCTATCCAGCCACCACCTCTTGGCCACTGGGAGCTTCTCCTCATCTGTGTCTTCCTGCGCGTCATTACCAGTCGGCTGCCAACCCATATCCATCATCTTCATTAGATTCTGCATTCTCTGTGGAGTGAGACCTTTCGTGCCGATGTCAGCCCAGCTTCCAAATCAAATAAGCCGCTCGCACTTTGAGATGCCTTGTACGCCATGCCCCGATAGTCAAACTCCCCACCGCTGTGTTGTCACACTTGAGGAGCTTTGGAAGCTCTCCAGCCATCTGTTCCACCATGCACCCGACACTGTCCCCCAGGATCACAGATTAAGTAATTTCAATGAGCTCGGCCTCTGCCGTCGACGGTGCTGGAAATGGTTGGCGGGATGATTTCCAAGTGACCACTGCACCATGCGAATGTCCGCCACTTGGTGCAAACGATGCATCGCTTGTTGACTGCAGGATGAAGTTCTCCCTCTTCCAGTGCCAAATGCCTCTGCCCTGCGACCAATGTCTGGCATCCCCGGCTTCACCATCTCTGGACCAGTTTCCTTCGACTCCTTGTCCACTAAGTGGTTGACCAACTTGCCATTACTTCCAGCATCTCTTCCTCTCTTCCTCTTCATTCGAAGGGGGGAGCTGTCCTTTCAGATCTGTGCAGTTCGTCGGAACGGCCGTTCCCCCGAGACTCCATTCCCCTTCAAGGTCGTAGCTTTTCCGGGATCACGCTCCTCCGTCGCCGCTGGGCCCTTCTCGCAGACCGAACACCAGCGCCATGCGTGTGCAGCCTTGGTGCCTCTGATGTTGTAATGTCTCAAAGAGTCTCAAATTGGCTCAATATCTTGGGGTCATCGATTCGAAAGTTTTAGACATCTTTTTCGCAGATGTAGCGCTTGTGCAGCCCATCGGTTTGAAAATAGATTTCAGCCAATTCAACAGTCCATACATTGACGGTGAGATACGGTGAGGCGCTATTACAGAATCGTAAGTTTTTTTCCAGCGCGTTTCTCGATATGTGACTTTGGCACATGATTTGGCACCCTTTTTGAGATGTAAGGGATGTTGATCTTGTAAAGCGCTTATGCATCTACAAAAGCTGCATATTAGAAGCTGGGGACATTGATTTTGTAATATTGTCACTTGGCTGAGGGGTGCGGTGGGTTCATCTTGTAGTGTTATATCAAGCTCGGCTAGCTCAGCTGGGGTATTTATGTTTATAGAACCGGCCCACCCCAGGGTACCAGCAATATTTGAAGGGGAATCCCTGTTGTCATGAGTATTTTACAGTGGAATTCTAGCCAAAGACCAGAGATGTGGAGATTTCCATCTCCTGAGTTCTGGTCCTTTTTCTTTCCCCTGTCTTTCTTTCGTCAACACATGCCAGGACACCACATTGATGAACACCCCAACAAGGGACCTCCCATCTGCACCCCTCAGACTCTGAAGTCCATCTGCTTTTTACCCAAAGCGGTGTTCGGATTGAGTGAAACAGAGTGGCCACTTTTGCTCAATCCCAACCGTAACGAGTCGCTCGGAGTCTGTTGACCAAAAGGATCTCGACCGACATGGTTTTGGGCCTCCATGTCAACATGGTTTTGGGGAGTACTGAGTGGTCATCTATGTTAGTCTGTGCCACGGCATCTTCGAAAACGGCCCATTTGTAGAGACTCGGCATGTCATGACTAAAGGCAGTCCTGGTCCCAGATCCCTCTAGTCCTCGTGAACATCAATACTCGCACACCTCGGGTCCACATTCTTTTCCCAGGAAGACGGCCGATTGTGTGAGGCCAAGTGGACCTAAATCATGGTGCGGGGTTTATGGTTGCTAACGTTGAAACTCAAAAAAGAAGAGCGCCACCCGCCCGCAGAAACCCTTTGACAAATGGATCGATCGCCCTTGCACATCTCTCGATGGGTCCCCAAGATTTGACCCTTGGGGTTTGTGTACAATCACCTTTGGTGTGCTTGGTGTGTTTGCCCAGCCCGAAGTGGGCGTGTCCTGTTGGGTGGGGGCACACAACTTGATGCCCGAGACATGGGTTTTGACATGCAGCAGATTGGGCAACACTTGGGCGCCTTGATCTAGCGGCCCTTCGCAGGACCCAGTGTTGGGATTCACCAGTGTTGATACAGAACCCCCGAACCAACTCAACCAATAGGTATTGTCCAGAGGTCGTTCATGCAGTGGACAAAGATCTATTCCGGTGGGTTCCCAACCGATGGACCGAGAACTAGTTCCCTCAATGCCAAGATGTGTGAGACCTTTGTCCCAAGTCGCTACTTCGTTACCGCTGGGCAGGCCGTTTTATCCTGTGAACTTGAGACTGTTACTTCTGATCCCTCCATTCAGCTGCTGCTTCCTCTCTTTCCTGCCTTTCTTCCTCAGCCTCCTCGTCTTTTTCTGAGCCTGAAGCTTCCTCAACACCGACTTCATGTGATGAAGATGTGTTCCCTTCGTCCTCACTGGCACTTGTTTCAGCTTCTTCATCGTTGATCTATCCATTTCTCTTCACACCCAAGGAGAAGATTTCGGGGCAGAAGGCCTGCACGGCCACTGGGCGCAGCGCTCCGCGTGCAGGGGGGAACCCGAGAGGGGCCAGGTCTTACAAAGAAAGCAGGGACATTTTTGGGAGATCTACCCTGACTCACTTCTATGGAAGCTTCCTACCCCTCTATAGGTGTTGAGGAGTTCTTCGCAAATGAGATGAACACGAGCATGCGGGGTTTTCTGAATGTCCACAAAGTAACTTGAGTCACTTGAGTCCAACTGCGACCATGGGGTTTTCGGATGTGGCTCCAGCAGAGCGATTTTGTCCGATCTGGGCCCAGAGACCTCGCGCTTTTTCAGAAGTGGCATGAGAAGTGGCCAATTGGGACATGACAACCAGAACAACGTGCCACAAAACCGAGTGTGACACTCCTTGCGCCTCCGGGCCTGAGTCGCAGCTTTCAGGCCAGCACGGGCGAACCGTGTTTTGCCAGAGACCGCATGTCAGCAAGCCTCTGTGGCATACGCAAAGTCACAACCAACAAAGTATCAACATGAATCAACTGGCAACTTCACCCGCGTTCCAGCTTGGATGCTCAATTCATTTCCATTGACTCACCATGGGTCCGTCCGCTTGGTACAACGGTTGTACCTACCCAACAAAAGTGAATCACCTTTTGGGTGGGGATTGGTTGTCCCACTAGAACAAGAACAGGTCGAAAAAGATCAACCAACCTGTACCAGGGCCTTCAAGGGGTGGTAATTGGACACCCCTTAACATCTAAGGGGCTATACATAGACACCCCTTGGAGGGTGCTGGTATATATATATATATATACACAGTAGTTTGTTTTGTATTTTCTTAATATTTTTCCAGGAAAGGGGATCCGGAGTCGGTGGCTGAAGAACGGCTCGGGTGTCTGTCGTTGTTCCTCGCTCAGGAATTTTCCGCGAGCACCAATGCGGACGCCCTGCTGGCGTGTCAAGACGTAGCGGTGACCATGCCGTGGTTGCAAGCGCAGGCGGCTGGAGAGACTGGGGGGCCAAAAAGTGGAGGTTGGGCGGTGGAAAGCTAGGCTAGGGTGCTGTTGGTGTGGTGTACTGCAGTTGGGAGGTGGAAGATCGGGCGAGAGTTGTGAATGGCTCATGTTGTGCAGTTGTGAATAGTCCCATTTTGTGTGGCTGGGTGGCTGGAAGAGCCATCTCTTCGCAATGGGGAGATCTCAGATGAAGCTAGATTTTGTACCATGTGATTTAGAGTTTCAGTGTAGACTTCTGGGGAACAAGCCTTAAGATTCTGAACATTTCTATCAGTGGTTGCCGGCTTACACTTTCTTGCAGTGGAGAGCACATCAATTTGGGTGAAGTATGGTGAAGTTCAAAGAGTAGTATAGGCAGTCATAGGCATAGGACAACGGTTCTACTCTTCACTTAGGCCCCCGGCCCGTTCACCTTTTGAAAAGGAAACCGGTGCACCGGTCCCCACTGGGTGTGAGATGTGGGGACCGGCCAGGTCAACGCTATGATGTGGCTCAGCAACGTCAGACCGTCGACGGTGGTGTAGCGCTGTCCAGGAACTGGGCTGTGCACGGAGTTAGGATGAAGCATCTGCTCGTGGCTGAAACATTCAGCTGAGTTTCATTTTTTGGGCAACCCGATAGAGACCACCAGCTCGAATTGAGCCAAAGAGTTCTGAGTGGTGTATTGTTGGATTATGTGGAATGATGCCTGCTGGACATTGCCTGCTCGACATTTCAGTCTGGTGGTACTTTCGCAAAGCACTTCCCCCGCATTGTCGCAAAGCGGACTTAGAGGGGCATCATCGCTTCGATCGGTGCTTCATTTTCCACACTTTTATCGGTTTCAAGCTTTGAGAGAAATTCACCCGAAAAACCCAGTGGTCTTTTCGACGCACCGGCTCAACGACTCATCGCTTTTTGTTGAACCTTGTGTTGTGGGTCGGAACTGTCCGAAACGAGGGGACTCTTAGGAACCAGGCTCGGTTGCATCTACGAATCTTCTTCTCCTCTTCTTCTTCTTCTTCTCCTTCTGCTTCTCCTTCTGATTCTGATTCTGCTTCTTCTTCTTGGGAACCTCTGACAACTCCGAACCATGATGACTCACGCCGCCTCACTCGCTCGCCTCGGACCTGACGAGTCAGCCACCCACCCGACCCACGTCACCCGACCGCGACGGGTCGCCGCGGGGACCGAACCCGTGGGACCGGCTGTGCCAAGGGAGCAGAGGATCGCGCCGTTCTTCTGGAGCTTTAAGATGCCCTATGGCCACTCGGATCGCGCGGTGTGGCCAAACAAGACTTGACCAAGTCAGAAGCGGAACGGGTCTGGTGTGAGGTGTGAGGGGTGAGGGTGTTCAGAGCCCAGATTTGTGGGCTGGGGGGTTGGGGAGAGAGAACATGTGGGCGTATAGGTGGGAAGGTGCACTGATCACCGAAAACTTGATATAGGTGATATAGGTAATTGAGAGATATTGAGAGGATGCTAGTGGATGGGTTGGGGAATTTTCAGGTGATTTGACTTGATCAACTCAACTTGGTGTCGTGGTTTCGGCTCCACCGGGGGGTGAGGTGTGCTGAACGCGTGATGCACCAGGCGTTCAAAACGAAGGGGATCATAGGTACGGTTTTCCAACAAGACCCTCAAATGGAGATGTATGCACATTGGGATCAAGTCAATGGAACTGCATTCCCAGCTTCGGATGTTGAACTCACATATGCTATGGCCCTATGACTCCTGACCGATTTGGCACGCACTCGCGGTCCGGCTCAGTGTGACTGGCGCCCGAGGCACCATCTTTGAATCGGGCTGGAGCTTGAGAAAGGCTTGGGCCATCAACCCTCCCCCCGCTCCAAACCCCAACAGGCAACAAAGAGCCAGACTCTGTTGATAGTCAATCTCTTCCTGTATGCACGAGCTGCGATTCTGCCCTCCCTGGTACCCCAAACATGGGTTTCATGATGATTTCAGAATTCCTCATGCGCTGAACTTGGATCTCTCAACTGCTCCAGATCTTTCCCAAATCTTTCCATCCACACCCACACCCACTCCAGCCCAAACCCTCCCCCTCCGGCCGCCGCTCACCCCACGTGCCGCCACCGGTTTTCACCCTTCTTCCCGCCCGCCGGGTGCCGAACGGCAGATCTTCGGGATGAACGTGCCGCCGCCCTTCCGCTGCGAGACCGGCGCCGGGCTGCTGGGTCCCGACGCCACGGTGCCGTGCTTCGCCGGGAGCTGCGCCTGGGCGACGGAGTGAGCGAACGGGAGCGGTTCGGGAGCGGAGCGAGAAAGAGGGGGCATTCTCTGTGAAGCCGAGCTCAAAGAATGGATTAAAACTGGGAAATGAAAGGCATCATCGGAGCCCTTTCTGGTTGGTCGAAGATTCTGTGGAGTTCTTCAAACAATTCCATCAACCATGCAGCCAAAAAGAAATCATTGTTGGCCATCTACAAGGCTTCCAATGATCAACGAAGACCCATGAAGACGCATGGAGCTGCACTGGTCTGTGACTCAACCTCTTGGAGACTTCCGCCCAAGGTGGAGATGATTAAGCCGGTGCCCATAGACCGGAACTGAGCGTGGCACCGTCGTTTGGGTGGGCGAAGGACGTGCAAGTGCCGCAGCGTATGGCCATTTTTGTTGGTCTTTTCGTTGAGGAACGACCAGCACGAATGTCACCTATTCTTCATATCTTGGGATTGCCTGGTCATCTCTCCCCTCAAATCAGGCCGAGTCCCATTGATTCGGGAAAATTGTATGTAAAATCAAGAATCTACGTGAGAATCTACGTGGCTGAAGCATCGCTGTAATACAAGTTTCCACTTTCGAGCAACTGCTTGATGACATAGTCGCACACATATAGATTTGAGAAGAACTGCTTCTGCTAATGCCACCACCACTCCGTAATTACTGTGGAGTGCCTTTGGTTGCTTGCTCTTGTTTGGTATATTTGGGTATTACTCGCCTTCTTTTGTTTGCATTTGATTGTTTGTTTGCTTGCTAGTTTGTTTATTTACTCCCAGACGCTCATGGACCCTCCTAAGTAGGGGCCGGACCCCCTAAGTAGGGGTCCGGACCCTCAAATCCCCAGGGTTTTGAGGGACCAAGAGCTGATTGGAGCGTCTGGGCTGTATGTTTATTTGTTTGTTTGTTTGCCTACTTGTTCTTGTTGGCTTTCCTTTTGCTTGTTCGGGATTGTTTTGAATTTGTTTGCTGAGTTTGCTGGTTTGTATTTATTTGCTTTTGCTTGAGCTTGGTCTGGTTTGTCATCGCTTGCTTGTTCTTTGTTGAAGTAGCTGCAATGGAAGGACTTCACGGATGAGACATACCAGAAGACTAACAACAGTATCGAAAGACGGAACTCCCAACCGTGCCCACGGGCGACGTGTGAACGGATGCGACGCCGTGGTGCGACACTTGCGCCTCGTGTCGCGACGCGTGTGACGGCGGTGGTCGGACACGGCGGTTTGCGGTCGTTTGACGGGGCAAAGATCCCTGCAAGCTTTGGCTGGGAGGAAGAACCTCTCGAATTTTCCGGGTTGCGAAAGAAGATCTAACATGGGCCAATTCACATCAACACGGATCGAGATGACGCCAGGCTAGGCGCTAGGCCCCTAGGCTAGATCCAATTGAGAAGTGCTAGTCCGTGAGCCCGATTCGGGAAAGGTCCATCGTCCGTGATGGCGTTGGACACTGTGGGACGAAGTTGCGCAGCCAAGTCGAAGATTGGAATCGATGTGATGATGTTCTTGGAACGCTCAAAAGAACTGATCCGTCTCCAGTGCACAGATCTACACCCCGCATATGTAGAGGGTTCAGTATATTTCAACCCCGCAGATGAAGAGGTTTTATGAGGTTTTACAATCCATGGTGCTGGGGAGTACATGATGTACCACACCTGGCTCATCCCTCTCCGCATGGATTTATGGCTCTCTGCCTGGCTTGCCTTGGTCTCCTGCTCCGCCCATGGGATGCTTCCAAGGTTCCTAACATCGATGGGACATCCGATATGATGGGAACAAACAATGTTGAACACACAAGTTCAAACATGGACAACATTTTTGACAATGGGACAAACAATATGTTGTTTGTAACAACAATGTATTCTTTCCATTTGACATGTTCATCTTCAAACACCTGGACGAGCACACTCAAGATCCATCGTGGAGCATCACTCTTTCTTCTTCGTGGGGCTGACAAGCCTCACACTGGGGGTGGTGCAGCAGTCGCCTGGTTTTCCAGGAAATAATCCGGAAATGCATTTTTCCTCCACTCGATTTCCACTCGATTCCACTCTGCGATGTCTCTTGCACTGCGATGTCTGCGAAAAGAGCCGAAGTCGCGGGCTTCCCTTCAGTGCTTCCGACGCTGCCAAGAGCGACCCCCGTGTGGAGCGTATGTGTATATTTTTGGATCTCAGAGGATGTTTGGCCGGTCTAGTTCTGGAATTTATTAGAGTCAGGTGGTTGCCCTCTGCAACTCTTCGCAGGTCATGACTCGATGCACTGTGATGTTCACAGCATAGTCTGGGGCGGAAGTCATAACAGTCTTGAAGAGTTGCAGTTGGTATTTGTGGAGGGTGCAGTTGTCCACTTCTCTTTTGTGTTTTTGGTGTGTTATGACCTGTACCAGTCCACACACCACCAGTCTTCTTTCAAGACCCACAGGACTTGGAGGACTCCCATTTTCGTGACCGCCCCCAGCTTCCTTCGAGCTGAAGCCAACGGCTCTGTGCCGAGGCCTGCTCTGGTACGCTTGGCACTCATGGACGGCTGTGGTCTTCCCCAAGCACCACCAGCAGGAGCGGGGCACGCCGGGTCCTTCCCGTTGTCCAGGGCGGAAACCAAAGTGTTGCGCACGTTTTGACCGGGGATCTGACATCATGATCATCATGTGCGGTTTATGCCAGCGCTTTGGTTGGGCGCGGCCGGCGTGGCTTTGATCTTACAGGTCTTGTGGTGTGTTGAGCAAGATCATCGGCTCAACTGGGTGGGCTTCGAAGCTTTCCTGCCGGCAAATGGTTGGGTGTTCTATAAGTCTTAATTTCATTTGGTGCCTGTTGTCCCTCCCCGCAGCCATATTGTGCGAGGTAGTACACTAAGGTACTTGTTTGATGCTTGTGGACGAAGACGACAGCCCAGCTGGCACAGATATGCGTTTCATTCGTGCAAGCGGTTCTTTTTGCAGGAGCTATCCTTGCGACAGCAACAGATGCTAATGTCCACCATCATGGCCATGAAGGCAGAGGGGCCAGGAACCGTCAAGCCCTGCCCTGCGGGCCCTGCGAAAGATCTGGTATGGTTTGGACTTCCCAACAAGCAGGGGAGGTGAACACAGTCCTGAGAAGCCCCCCCTATTTGAATGATCGGACTTGCGGACTGTCTCATCAGACGCGCCTCCACGCTCCCCCTTACCCCCGTTGTTTGAATTGAACATCCTCTTCATATGGGGGGTGTATGAATCAAGAGTCGACATTACGAGAATCAAACCTAAGGGAACCACCGTCCCTCGCAACTGTTCGCAGCAACCGTTGGGAGCAGGACGGGTTTCTCGAGATGGACGTGTCATGCACTGTGACTGACACACATCCCTCAGCCAGGGTCCAGTTCTTGGGCATTTGTACTGAAGATGTTCAGACGAGATGTTGGCATGTTTCTCCTTCGACCAAAGAAATGAATGAATAGAACAATACATGAAACTAAGTAGCAAAGATAGACCTAGAACCTGATTGACCCCTGTTTTGGAGCCAAAACATGGTCTTTTCTTATCGAAATCAAAACAGAGGTCACATGGGTTCTAGGGATATATAAAGACATATGAAGACTACAACGACGACGCACGCCGTCGCTAGGTGTCCGAGACCTTCCACCACGAGGCCTTTCAGAGATGGAGGCTGCAGGTGCCGGCGAATGGAAGTCGGTGGCGAAAAACCAGACATGAAGAAACACAGAAACGCCTTCTCCTGAAAACACCCGGTTTAATTTTCGGGGAGGTCCTAGTTGCTTGTGGTTTAGTGGTTTGGTTTCATGTCATTTTTTCTTGAATCAGGAGTTGGAGAGGCTTGTCATATGGAAACGATAGGATGTCCCACGTTCGCCCTGCATCGCGGCGCGTTCGCGGAGGTGCAGAACGATCGCCGGGTTTTGGCGGAGCAGGTGCTTCTAGCGGATGCAGGCGCTGAAGGTTTGTGGAGAGCGAGGGGTCGGAGCTGTGGATCAAAACCGGGATACTACGGCTTGCGGACTGTGATACCACGCGCAACCCCAAAACATCCCTTGGTATACTGTGATACCGGGTATGGGTGTGAGAAGTATGGCAGTAAGGTATCCCGGTTGCCGTCAAGGCAAATGCTGTTGGGGCTGGTTTTTTTCCCATCCCCAGATGGGTCGGAACTTGGAGATTTGGCCATGTGAGCCAGTTGACTTGACACCTTTTTCTGTTGATAGTGAGCACTACAAAGAAGAAGTCTTTTGATACCAAGCGAGAAGAACATCTGTGAAGAATCCAGTCCCGCCTCTGGTGGAGACATGCCCCATGGAAAAAACCTACTGTGTTTGGACTCAGGATGTTCTTCAAACTGCTTTCGCAAAGGTCCGCAGGAACCTGTGGAGCTCAGGGAGTCCCGCATCGCGTCAATAACACACTCTCCAAAACATGTGAAATCCGTGAATTTTTCCAACCCATCTCCAATGCTTATTGGCCGAACATTTTGCCAAATCGATTTCTATAGAGTCTTAGAGGATCTTAGAGGGAGGGATTCACTTCTTTCGACCTCCCAGCGGGTTGCTCTACCCACTTTCCAGGGCGGCTCCGCCGAGAGATGGCCAGCGTGGGGCGAAGTGCGTCCGCCAAGGTGCAGATGGGGATGTGACTGGGCAGACTGGGGATTTGGCGATTTGGTGGATGGTTTTTTGGCGGGTTGGATTTCTCCTGTTGAGGGATTTGCTGGCAGGGCTCAATGCTCTGCGGATTCTGGATTGCATTGGATTTGAGGTGGATGGATCTTTTTTTGGGATTTCTTCTTTTGAGAAGATTTGCTGGCAGGATTTGGATGCTCTGCGGATTTGGATTGCACATCCAGGATGTTTGGATGCTCCACCCGTCGCGAGCTGGCGCCAGGAGCTCTTGTCTCATTCGCTGTCAGGGCCGGAGGCGGGGGGGATATTGGGATGAAACCAGGTCGATTTTGGAGGCCCAATCGAGAACTGAACACTTGAAGAAGGCATCTTGTGAGAGGGGATGGTGCTTTTCCAACGATTTGCACGTACAGAATATGTACAGGAAGCTGGTCGTGGTACCAATCAGGCCCTCATCTTCCTGCCGTAGCTGGCCGCCCCATCTCTGTTCGATACAGGTCTGCCGGTCTGGAACATGTTGCCATGGCAGAAACATCCTGGGAACGGTTTGGTGGTGACTGTGAACCTGGTGTTGCGTGTGAACCTGGTGATGTTTCTTCTGCCCAAACCTGGAGAACATCCCCAAACCCAAGTCTGACCCAAGGGTCGCTCGCGGGTCGAACGTGGGCCATATGGAGGCCGAGCGCCTGACCTGCGCAAATGAACATGTAGACCCTTACATGCATGAGGGGGCACCTTTTGAATCGAATACACACCCATAGCGTCATATACAATCCAATAAAGCCGAAGACATGAATGCGGAGAGGGGTTAGGCAGATGATCCTCTTTTTCCATGCGCCCTGCTGTTCTAATTTGCCGTTGATCTGCAGAGGCTTGGCATTTCTGCTCGATACCTGCAGTATTCACATTTTACAGAACGGCAAGACTTTGTGTGTCCAAGACATTCCATCTCCAGTTTCATCCCAATTCCCACCTGCATTTCCACTTCTACACCTGACTGCAATTGAAATACTTATACAGCTCCTTTGCCCTCTGCTTGACAACTCAAATTGACAAAGGAAGAACAACGACTCAGCCTTTAGCTGCTACCACTTGTCCCAGCTCCACCATGCTCCTCTTCCAACTCCTTCGTCCCGATCCTCTCCGCTCTCCTTCGCCACCGAACCGTCCGTGCTCCGTCCGTGCGCCGAAGCGTTCGTTCCGAGGCGCAGCTGGGGCGATTGGACGTGGTCGTCGATCAGCTCATCGGTCAGATGAACGCCGCCCGGTCGAACGATGGCGGTGGCGGTCGCGGGGTCCGGCTTTTGCCGGGGTGCTGTTGGTTCAAAGGGTGAGTGTGGGTGCCTATGGCGTTCTTGGTGTGGGTGCCTTGGCTTGAAGACAAGCAGAGTGCTTTGATGCATAAAACTCGCTCCA